AAATTTTTAATTTAACAATGAAAAGAATAAATAAATATTGATTTCTAAAATTTGATCTAAAATTTTATTAATAAATTAAAAATTATTAATATGGTGTAAGTGGCATCATGTTTCTAATTTGTAATATCGTTTACATGTTGTGACAACCTAAAACGCTTATAGTGAAATGATTAGTTATATCCGTACGAAAAATACTTTAGACATGTGTCTACTTTAGTTGTATGATTTTAGTTTCAATTTAGATTAAAAGAGTACCTATTTAAAAACTTAAATCATATTTTAATGACTAACAGTTTTGTAATAATAAATTATTAACAAAAACTAATTTCCGCGCAAGGCGCGGGTACTCGAGTAGTACTAAAGATATTAGAGTTGTTTTTTCATTAATTTTTATCCAAAATTGAGATAAATTTGAATTTTAGTCCAAACAGAACCGAACGACAATACTTCACACAATCCCGTCGTCCCTAATCTCGTAATATTAAACCGAATTTAATACCGGTTCGGACAGAGAGGAAACGACACCGTTTTGAGTCAAGGTGGGTGTCTACCACTTCGATCCCAAAATCTGGCTCCGTCTCGTCCATCAAACACCGATCCATCTTTCATTCATTCTCTCTCTCTCCGTCGACTCTCGTTGTAAAGATGCAAGCTTTCTACGTATTCCTCGTCTCTCTCCTTCTCACCCTCAATTCCAGGGTTCGTTTTATCCTTTGCTCTCTTGTCTACGGAATTGCGTGTATAAATATGTACGACTTCTATGGATCTGACCTTTTACAAATTGTTGTGATAGGGAGAAGCCAGTGGTTCTTTTTTCTTCATAGATGGATCCAACAACCAATTTCTTCGTCCACGATCAGAGGTAATAATGATTGTCACTTGCCCTTAGACTTTGATTTAATTTGATAATTTGTCTATGAACGATTTGAAAAAAAAAGCTCAATTTGATAATTTTATCTCTCCGTTTGAGATCGTCGCTGGAAATAATCAGGTCAATGTAGTAGCCGGAGACACGATTTCATTAAAATAATACGATAAGATCCATTATTTGATCTAAGTGGCATCAATTTCAAG